ACGCTGCTAGGGGAGGGGCTCCTGGCATCGCTACTAGGAGCAAGGACACTGCTAGGGGCTCCTGGCCTTACTGCAAGGAGCAAGAACGCCTCCAATTACTTTCGAATCCGATGAATCTTATGCAAAGTCTGCCACAGCTCCTCTCAGCACCAAAATGGTCTGAGTGCCTGACTCCCAGCTTCATCTGCTCAGTGACCCAAGTGCTATTCTGCGAGAACTCCCTCGCATGTTCCCGCTTCTCTTGCCTTAAGCGTGCCAACCTCTCGCGGTCCTGGAGGGAGTGTGGTCAAAGAGTGGTTCTAAGAGCAAACACCCCACGCACTCACTTGGTTATGTCGTAAAACATGATGCTTTCTGTGCTTGTCAAAAAGAAATCCCCACGCTCCTCATTGCTGTAGTACGGAGAAATGGACCTGACATGATGTCATATGAACCACAGGATGTAACTTGAGCAAAGCTGCTTTCCCAGACTCCATGATAGCCGAGCCTTATGAACAGACTTAAGGCTACCGGAACAAACCCTGGAATGGCGGGTTTGAATTGCTGACCACAAGTTGTCCGTTTCTGCATTTCTCAAACAGAATGTGTTCATCCATTTTTGGTCGACACTGCTTACGAGGCAAACCAGAGCTCATCAAAAATTTGCCAGTATGGTCACCACAACTTAGCCGTAGCTTGGGGTCAACTTTGTGGTGACTCTGAGTGCTTGGAGGCTTGTGACGGCTTGTGGATACAAGGTGAATCGTTTTGGATACGGAGAAGCAGGGAAAGCAAGAGGACATTCCTTTTTACAACTTGAGGCTTCCACCACAATTCTCTGACAAATTGCAAAGCCCACGAACATGGTGCGTTTATAAAAACCTATTTTCTCAGAATGTGTTTTCAAGCAAGTTGTCCTTGCCTCCGCGCATTTACCTTCGGCCCTCGGGCGTGCCTGAAATGCGAGGGCTCAGTGAACAGCTTCTTGAAACAAGAGTGAGGGGATGCACTGTGCACTGAAGATTTTGCTTTTAGGGACTTCACTGAGCCAACATGCGTATTAAATTAGGAAACATGCACAAAGCTGCATGGAGAACTTCCAAGCAACAGTTGACACAAACTTCAGTCACCTCAGGAGCGAGTTCTTTGGACCAGCCTTGTCACAAGCGACGTGTCCTGCGTAGTCAAGAGACTCAATCAATGGCCTCCAAACTACTAAGTGGACCTAGCAATTGCCTCCAACCTAATACGATGACCTCCAAAACCTGAAATCTTTACAGACTCTGCTGCATGTACCCACTGTACCAACATCCGTGGGTCCTCACAAAGACGCGGGGAGTGCAGGCCAGTTTGACCTTAGGCATCACGAGAGAAGGTAGAGATTAGTTTGTCATTTCCTCACGTCACTGCTGAATGAAAACCCCTTACCTGTGAGTCGTAGATCGTGTTTGTTATAGGGGTGTATATGGTGTAGAAGTATGTATATAATATATGTATATACATATATACACTTGCGATGAAAGTGTTCCTGTACATCGCATTTCTTCTTTCAAACAAGCCCTGCCTAGGTCAAAAAAGCTGCCAGCACATCTCGCTGATTGCACTGCTGCCAACAGCCCTTCCCTCAGTCAAAGGCTTGGCATGACGAAAGCCTCAGTGGTTCATGGAGAGCAAAAGAAGGATGGTTGCCATGGCGCTTGGCTTGCGGAGGAATGGTTTGTAGTAGTGTGGTGAAGTGAAGGCAAAAGCAAGCATATGGAACAAAAAGAGACTATGAAGCCTGGAACACCGTACGCCAACAGTGGTGGTTGGAAAGAAGGAGCTGCCCGGCAAGCCGGTGGGAAGCTGTTGGGAAGCAGGAGTGGAAGAGTTCGAAGTAAAAGGACTGGCCGAATTGGTGAACCAGAATATCAGAATTGTTAGGAACAAGTGCATCGCTTCTAGTAACAAGTGCCTTACTAGTAGTAACAAGAAGCTATTAGAAACAAGTGCCACGCTACTAGGAACAAAGGGCATCGCTACTAGTAACAAGTGCTTTGTGTGAGAAGATCACAAAAAAGGTGCTTGGGCGGTCTGAAACCTCAAGTGCAAGAACCAGCTCAGGTCGTTTGTTGAGAAAAAAGCACCTGTTGAGGAGGAAACAAGTACTACTAGTAAGGCACCTGTTACTACGAGCGAGGCACTTGTTCCTAGTAGCTTCCTAAAATAGAACTGTTGTTACAAACATTGAAGACATATGTGTTCTTTCGTACAGTTTTACTTTGTCATTCAGTCTGCACTGATGTCCCAAGGCAGTGGCCCCGAAAAATCCGCATGCGGCTGTACAAAGTGCAAATCCTAGTCCTGGACGAAACGGTTGGAAGTCGGATTCTTCGGACGCCATTACTAGAGCTACTAGAAGCTAGTAGGAGCAAGGGCATCGCTACTAGGGGCTCCTGGCCTTACTACTAGGAGCAAGGACGCTACTAGGGGCTCCTGGCCTGACTACTAGGAGCAAGAAGCTACTACGAGCAAGGTTGGAGGCCATCGCTAGTAGGTCGGAGGCCATGGCTATTGGGGTGGAGTAGGTTTGTGTGCTGACCATCAAGCAGCTCTCCACGTACAAACAAGGGATGTTCTAGGGCCAGTGGCGGCCAGTGATACCCCCAGTATGCGGAGTGACACTAGTGATAACTCCAGTGAATCCTGGTATCCGCCTTCTTTGCTTCCCTTTGTTCTGTTATTTGACTTTTGTTTTCTTGAACTCTGTTATTTTCTTTAGACCTATACACCTTTCATGTGTCCTTCCTTTTTCTCCTCACTGCTTTCTCTCCTTCTTTTTATTGTGAAAATTGCACCTTTGCTCCAAAATCTGCAGGTTCTCTCCTCTGCGACCAATGCTTCGCCGCTCAAACCTGAGAGACAAAAAAGGGTCGAAACCTTCGGAGAAGGGTCACGACGGCAACTGAACTCTCAGATTCAGTGCAAGTGGTGACTAAGTAGTGGAAAGTTCAGAAAACGACTTCAGAATTTCAACCTAATAGCAATGGCCTCCAACCTAATAGGAAACGAATTCATAATTTCGGCCTGAACTTCTCACCCAAATGGCCGAATTTTAGTGACAATGTATCTTCGGCACACACGCCATGCCATGCAGCGCTCGGCCCTGCCTCTGGATGTCATGTGGCTCCATTGCCACAAGCCTTTCAACAACTTGCGCCAGAATGGGCCTCACCTCTTGCCAAATTTAAAAAGAGATGAAGTCAGTTCTAACGTTTTGCGCGCTGGTCTGGAAAGTGGCACGACTTGAGGTCAATAAAATTGATCTAGAATGAGAGTCCAGGGTAGGTCCTCTAAACAAATACATTAAACATGTTATATAACTTACGATTCTTATGATCTATAAAGGCCTTGAGGTTCCAAAAAAATACCAATGCAGCTCGTCATTCATTTTAGGGCTGGCGCTGAAGGGGCAACTGCACTGCAATCGGGAGAGCTTCTTACAGGGGAAATCGTTCCATCCTCCAGTCTAGTTGTACGTACTTCCAATCAGCTGAACAAAGGTACAAACACATCAACGCAGGTCACGCTCAGAAGAATCTTACTTGCTGATTTTGGTCTTGATCCTTCCAGGTTGCTGTCGTCCATTGCCATTTCCAACCTAATAGCAATGGCCTCTAAACTCACTAGTGATGGCCTCCGACCTAGGAATCGCCAACCTGGAAACGGCCTCCCAAGCTCTCTAGGCAAACACCGATCTCTCACTATGGTCACAAGCGCTGTACGAGAGGAGCTCGACGCTCGCTACCACATTCTGACACTCAGCTTGACTTAGCAGAAACAAGAACACTTTTCAGACAAGAACTCGTCTGATCCTGATTCTGAACAACTTGAACGATGAAACAAGCGAGTTAGAAACGGAACAAGGTGCCCATGGCCTCCGGCTCCGGTTGGGCTCCCAGGCAGCGCAGCTGCGCAGCTGCACAGCGGGCCGTTGACTCTTTTCGGAGCCGCTGTGAGCCCAAATTGCACTGTTGGCGTGTCCGGCATTGTTCCTAGTAGTAAGGCCAGGATAGCGTCCTTGCTCGCCCCTAGTAGCTTGTTCCTAGTCCTCTCCTTCTCCTTTGGGGTTCTGTCATGTTTCAACAATAGTTGCAGAGAAGATCGATGAGGTATCCATTGGTTAGGGGTCAAATTGGAGAAGTCCGGACTGTCCAAACTCCAAAACTTGTGGTGTAACCGCGAAGACCACTTTTTGAATTGTCCAGCACGACATCATCTGAATGAGGAACATCCGAGGCCAAGTCCCACGGAAGCTCCTAGGTACAGGGAATGACACAGATTCTTCCGACAAACACAAACATCAAGGTTCAAAGTATTTGACAGATTTCCGAACCACTCCTGTTTCACGCTACTAGGGGCTCCTGGCCTTACTACTAGGAACAAGAAGCTACTAGCAACAAAGGGCATCGCTACTAGGAGCAAGGACGCTACAGTCTTTTTGTCGTCCTGTTTCACGATCTCCGGAACAATGGCAAGGGCGAAGAGCGTCCTTCAAAGCGCGCCCTTTCAGCAGAAAGAGCCACCACTTTATACTTTTTGGGGGGTATGGGTAGGCCGGAAGCTAGGAACAGGTAGCTAGGTAGCTAGAAGAGACGTAGCTACTAGCAGTTACTAGCTTACTTAAGCTACTACCTACTGGACGCAGGATAGCTCACGCTTCTTCAAGGAAGCTTTCCCTGAAGGCGGCAGGGGGAGCTTCCTTGAAGAAGCACTCGCACTAATAATTTGGTTCTAGATTTTCAAGGAAACTTAACTATGTGGATCCACTACTCTCAGGATTTGTACAGCCCTCATTGGTGACGTCCTCTGAGAAATTTGCCAAGCCATAAAGTTGTCCACAGGTTCATCGACAGGCAGCAGCTCCAAGAGCCTCAAAGAATCTTCCAACATCTATCGACAAATTGGCGGAGACTGCAAAGGAAAAAACTGAAGAATGTTTCAATCAAATTCAGTGACAAAAATCCCTTTGGGGTGGCAAGGCAGTGTCTTCTCCTGCCAGTTGCAACCAACTGGGGAGTGAGGCCAAAAGAATTTTGCGGTTGTGATCAAATCCAAGGACAAACCTGTACTCTCAGATCGCTGCTTTGCTGCACCACTTGGCCAAAGTATGTAGGCCACAGTCCTGAACACAGAAGCAAGACCAAACACATTTTCCCCCCGTCCCTACTTAATTAAGCAGAGACTACCTACTTAATTAAGGAGACTAGGTAGCTAGTAGCTAGGTAGCTACTAGTATGGACGCAGGATGGCAGCGGGGGGAGCTTCCTTGAAGAAGCGCTCGCACAAATGATTTGGTTTCGAAATTTTGAGGGAAACTTAACCAATAGCCAATAGCTTGTTACTAGTAGCTTCTAGCTACTATATCTCTCTTCATGCAAGCATCGTCCACAGGTATTCAGCTTCATAGAGTCCAGGTTTCTTCTTTTCCCTCGCAGGAAGCATGCAAACAAGCCACAGAGCTTCGCAAGCAAATGGCGTGGCTTAGGATCAGAAGACGCAAGAAACCTCCACAATCTGATAGCATCAGAAAAACAGTCAAAGCACACGTAAATGCCTAGCGGGCCCATTCTCCAACACACTGACACTCTCGAAGGGATGTCAGTTTGGAAATCCAAAAGGGAAAGCTACTAGGAGCAAGGACGCTACTAGGGGCTCCTGGCCTTACTACTAGGAACAAGAACGCTACTAGGGGCTCCTGGCATCGCTAAGCAAGGACGCTACCAGTAGCTCCTGGCCCTACTACTAGGAACAAGAACGCTACTAGGGGCTCCTGGCATCGCTAAGCAAGGACGCTACTAGTAGCTCCTGGCCTTACTACTAGGAAAAAGAAGCTACTAGGGGCTCCTGGCGTCGCTACTAAGAGCAAGGACGCTACTAGTAGCTCCTGGCCTTACTACTAGGAACAAGAACGCTACTAGGGGCTCCTGGCATCGCTAAGCAAGGACGCTACTAGTAGCTCCTGGCCTTACTACTAGAAACAAGAAGCTACTAGGAACAATGCCGGACACACCAACAGTGCAATTTGGGCTCACACCGGCTCAAAACAGTCAAACACACGTCAAACACAGCCAAAACAGCCAAAACAGCAGCCGAGTTGGCCCATTCTCCAACACACTGACACTTTCGAAGGGATGTCAGTTTGGAAATTCCTACTAGGAGCAAGGACGCTACTAGGGGCTCCTGGCCTTACTACTAGGAACAAGAAGCTACTAGGGGCTCCTGGCACACCATCGCGATCGGTCCACGCGTCTCGCCAC